TAAAATGCGCGCGCTTCATTCATGAGCAGAGTTGTCAAAAATCTCGGGCTGCAAATGGAAAGGATACCAGGTAAGTGCAGACAAGGGATAGGTAGAAAACGAACTATTTTCAAGACAACATAGCACTATGGAAAACATTGCAATATCTGAACAAGGTTTTTTCCTATTCGTGCTATAGTGCGGTATTTTTGCGCGCGCTTACAGGCTGGAGACTTATTTACTAGCGAGGTTTCGTTTATACTGAATTGCTAATCTCATTCGTCATTATTTTTGTTTGAAATAACTTTTTCAACATTTGGGGATGATCGCCACCCTTTGCTTAAAAGGAATCTTCTCAAGGAAAGTGTCAGGGCACAGCGCGGACCCTGGTTACGAGTCAAAACACTGTCTTTACATGGGAGGGGCAGGGAATAAATTTATGGCTAAAACATAGCGAACTTTTCTAACAAATCCCAATCGATCGTCTGGCAGACGTTATGAAAGGAGAGTATTAGAGAGTATTGGACAGAGCATCTCTGTCCAAAAATGTGAAGGAGAACTCTAAGTGATCGATAGAGAGGAAAGCAATCTTCAGCTGCTCGTTCGTTTTCTTCAGACGTTCACTTTAGTATGGCGGCCGTTTCTTTGTCGAATTGCTTGACACTCAATTTATATGGTGAGGGTCTCTTTATCGTAGAAATGCGATAATCTACCTTCTTTAAGAAAGAGCGCAGTTGGATTATTTTACATATTGCAATGGCGCACTTTTTAGCTTATTTTCAACATTTCCCAATTGGAAACTAACTAACCTTGTCTAAAGTGCACTAGATTCTCCTTAGTTTTAAACCCTGTTTATCAAATCTCTTTGAGTCCACTATGCATAAACCTATAAGGATTTACCAGCTTTTGGTTTACCAGTCTGTATATTGTGACAGAACTCTAAAGAATTAAGATTTAGTGTGTATATCATACATGAACTACTTGAACCTCTAAAGGAATCAAGACCAGGGTAATAGTTTCTACTTTACTTTTCTTAAGTGACTTTTCTCCTTTTTAATATGTAAAAAAAGCATTTTATTTTTTTCATTTTAAACTTGACACATTAGCTACCTAATGAATTGGTGAATTATACTGGTACTGGTAAAAAGCACCTTATGATGCTGATAACTTTTTACTGGATGTATTACAATTATTTTGCTGGTAGAGCACAGAATATGGTTTTATCTGACAGATTTTAGTAAATAAATGATATAAAATTAAACTGTAATGTCTCATTCATTGCTTTTTTCCTGCAGGTTCTTTGAAGGATTGAAC